AATAGAGATTGGTCGAGATCGGTCAAGATCGAGAATCGAGCAAAATAGAGACCGATCGAGATTGGTCAAGATTGAGATCGAGCAAAATAGAGACCAGTCGAGATCGGCCAAGATCGAGACCGAGCAAAATAGAGACCGATCAAGATCATGATCGGCCAAGATCGAGATTGAACCAAAAAATAAAAAAGGCGGTATATCCGCAATTAGGGCGAGAATCTCAGCGAAAATCCCGACGCATATCAAGTAGAGGTCAATTAATTAATATATCATGTAATTTCTTATGTATTTAGAATTATATTCAAAATAGGACTTCCCTACTATATAAAGGGGGTTTGATAGAAAGATAATTTTTTATGTAAGAAAAAAGCAATACACTGCCTTCTTTCAGCCTTCAATACCTTGTTACTCTATTCATACATTAGCAGAATTTTCACTTGGTTCGAGGGTGATCTAACTCGAAGGCCAAGGCTAATTGACCGTTTGGTTTGCATTTATTTCTTTTACAGTTAATTTCGATATTAATTTATATATTTTCTCAATTTGTACCAATTTATACTATGTATCCTTAGAACCACCTATAAATTCAATTGTTATTCATTTTTCGGGTAAACATTATGAAATCTCGAATTACAATTGAGAATGTAATTATTCTTCTAATAGGGAGAAAAAATGGAAAAACGGGATAGAGAAAAATGAGGAAAATTGAAACTTAATGCATTATTTTGTATATAAATGATAAAATATGTATATGAAATTTAATTAAGTGATTACTTCTCTTTAAAAAGGTAAATAAATTTATAATTTAGTATAGATATGTAAAAGTTCCTTCCTATTAGGGGAATTTATTTATCTACCTTATTTTATAAGATTGGTTTAGAAACTTTTGCCAAATGACGATTACCGCACATAGCCAAGTTTGCTCCCGTTAATGTGAATCTGAAAGCAACTCAAATTGGCAATAACATTCTAAAAAGGTAGTCAAATCTGAAAATTTCTTCCTATGAAACCACTTATAGTTTCTGTCACGACCCAAAAATCACATTTGTGATGTAAATTACGTGCCCCGATTAAAATAATGGACACTGGCACACCGTGTAGGCGAATAATCTCGCGGATATAAATCTCAGCCAACTGCTCCAGAGAATAATTAGTACCAACTGGAATAAAATGCGCGAATTTGGTCAATCGATCCACAATCACCCAAACAGCATCAAACTTCTTCTAGGTCTGTGGAAGCCCTACTACGAAATCTATGGCAATACGCTCCCATTTCCACTCCGGAATTTCAAGCCTCTGAAGCAATCCTCCTGGTCTTTGATGCTCGTACTTCACCTGTTGACAATTTAAACACCGAGCTACAAATTCAGCTATATCTTTCTTCATTCGCCTCCACCAATAGTACTGCCTCAAATCCTGATACATCTTCACGGCACCTGGATGAATGGAGTACCGCGAACTGTGAGCTTCCTGGAGAATAAACTCATGCAAACAATCTACATTAGGCACATATAGCCTTCCCTGCATCTGTAATACACCATCATCTCCGATAGTCACTTCTGTGGCATCACCGTGCTGAACCATGTCCTTAAGGACAGGCAAATGGAGGTCATCATACTGACGTTCTCTGATACGATCATAAAGAGAAGACTGAGAAACCACATAAGCCAAAACTCGATTCGGCTCCGAAATATCCAATCTAACAAACTGGTTAGCCAAGGCCTGAACATCCAAGGCTAAAGGCCTCTCTGCTAACAGTAAGTATGCTAAGCTGCCCAAATTCTCCGCCTTACGACTCAAGGCATCGGCCACCACATTGGCCTTTCCGGGATGATAGAGAATGGTGATGTCATAATCCTTAAGCAACTCCAATCACCTCCGCTGGCGCAAATTAAGATCCTTCTGTTGAAACAGATGTTGTAGACTTCGGTGATCGGTATAAACCTCACAATGGACACCGTACAAATAATGCTGCCAACTCTTCAAGGCATGAACAATAGCTGCTAACTCAAGGTAGTGGACTGGATAATTCTTATCATGTACCTTTAACTGTCTGGATGCATAGGCAATCACCCTACCGTCTTGCATCATTACTGCACTGAGGCCAATACGTGACGCATCACAATACACAATATAAGACTCTGAACCTGTTGGCAAAACTAGAATTGGAGTTGTAGTCAAAGTTGTCTTAAGCTTATGAAAGCACTCTTCACACTCATCCGACCACCTGAACGGAGCACCTTTCTGGGTCAATTTAGTCATAGGCGATGCAATAGATGAGAAACCCAAGCGATGATAATAACCAACCAAGCCGAGAAACTCCGACAACCTTATTAATCTACCTCGACACCAGATAACCTTAATTTTCTTAGCAAATATTGTCCGGGATATTTACACATAAGTCAACATCCGGTCAATATTTTCATCTTAAGTTCTAAAGCTTGAAACTAAGTGTTCCAAATTATTTCAAAACCTCACCGGGCCCGAACCAATTACCCTGGCAAGCTAAATAATAATCGTAAGGCATAATTTGAGCAGTAAATGGGGAGACGTAGTTGTAATACCCAAAACGACCGGCCGAGTCATTACAGTTTTCCCCCAAAAAAATCCAGAAAATATACTGCTTTCACATCTTAGGTTCAATTTATGAGATTAGTGTTGCATAGTAGGAGTAATAGTTATAGTTCCACTCTACCTTTTTGGGTGTTTGAGTTCAATCCTATAAAAACTCTCAACATCTTCTACCTTAATCTCTCCCCACAATATATACAAGTCCACTCCCATAAAATAAAAATAAAAAAAGAAAAATTAACCTAAATAGTAGTCTACCCAACTACATTATGTATATCGGCTAGAAAAATAAATAATAAATTTAGTCGGCTATTTATGAAAAGATTCCAAAAGAAAAGACCGCAGTGGTCTAAATCTCTCGACTTTTGGTCCTAATAAATGTCTGTACTCTTCGTTCTAACATCGATGGGTGGCTTGGAGCAACGGTCAAGTTGTCTCCATCTATAAGTCATGGGTTTGAGCCGTGAAATTAGCCACTTATGCTTGTATCAGGGTAGACTACCTATATCATATCCCCTTGGCATGCAACCCTTTTTTCGGACCCTGCGTGAATACGGGATACTTTGTGCACCGGGCTACCTTTTTGTTTTCATTCCAACAACAAATATATTAAATTTATAGACTGTCCTAATCTGTTTTTTGGACCCCTAATGTCTTCAAATAACAAGAGTTTTTATTGTTGCATGGCAGCACTACATTCTTCTTTCCCATTTGTATGTCAATCTGCAATACGGGACCTAATGCCCTTGTTCTGACGATTTGGTTGTGACGTTATGGAGTGGATTGGGGCATGGTTTTTGGGTATTTGGCTATGACTTCAATTGTAATTTGCAATTATTAAAGTCATTAATTGCATGTTAAAGCTTGGTCAGCAATATTTACAAATATTGAACTAACATATTTGAAATAACAATGACAATATACCCAGTAAAATCTTATAGGTGGAGTTTGGGAAGGGTAGTATATATGAAACAAGTAATACTTCATAATGAATATTGTTACAGATACAATGAGCTTTTAGAGTTACATGTTGATCTAGAAGGTAAACATTATCTCTAAGTACAATAATAATTTTAAATTCAAAATTTACATTACATATTAGCACGCCCCCTTAAGCGATGCATGGTCTGGAAGAATGCAGAGCTTGTTGCGCAGAAATAATAATCGCAGTGAAGGAAGGGCCTTGGTCAATAAATCTGCAAGTTGATCTTGACTAGGGACATAATGAACTCAAAGAATACTGACGGCAACTTTTTTACGAACAAAATAAACATCTATCTCGACATGCTTGGTACGAGCGTGTTGAATAGGTTTCTGTGCCAAATATATGTTGCTAATATTGTCACAAAAAATTGTGAAAGCTGAAGAACAAGAAACATGAAGTTCCTTTTAAAAGAGAATGTAACTATGTGATTTCGGCAGTCGCGTGAGCAACTGCACGATATTCAGCTTCAGCACTTGATCAGGAAATAACATTCTGCTTCTTGGAGGACCATGAAATATGATTCGGGTCAAGGAAGATACAGAGGCCAAAGTGGATCGACGAGTTATAGAGCAACCAGCCAATCTACATCACTATAATAGTGTAAACTATCAATAGAACCATGAGAAAAAATAAACCGTGACTCAATGAACCATGCAAATATCGCAAAATATTTTGACGGCAATATAGTGAATGTCTAAGGGAGAATGCATAAATTGAGATACTTGATTAACTGCAAAGGCAATGTCTGGACGGGTAAATGTCAAGTATTGATGACCACCAACAAGATTTCTATAAAGTGTGGGATAAGAAAAAGGAGAAGAATCATCCGAATGTAGTAGAGACTTAGGAGAAAGAGGAGTTGAAACTGATTTGAAAGAAAGTAAATTTGCACGACCAAGGAGTTCTTTCACGTATTTGGACTGAGATAGAAAACAACCTCCATCACGAGCAATTATAGAAACACCAAGAAAATAATTAATCAATCCTAAGTCATTCATTGAAAATTCGGACTTAAGAGTCTGAATTAAATATTGAAGTAAAGTAGTAGAAGAGGCAGTGAGTAGAATATCATCAACATATAGTAGAAGAATAGTAATGTCTGAGTTATGTTTATAAATAAAAAGAGAGGGATCAGAAAAGCTATTTTGAAATCAAGTACTTAGAATAAAAGAAGTGAACCGATGGAACTATGCCCTAGGGGCTTGCTTTAAGCCATAAAGATCTTTATTCAACAGACAAACATGATGAGAAAATTGTGGATGAACAAAGCCAGCAGTCTGTTTCATGTATACCAGTTCGTTAAGATTGTCGTTTAAGAAGGCGTTCTTAATGTCTAATTGATGAACATGCCATTGCTTAGATGCAGCAGGGCAAGAATAGTACGAATGGTTACTGGTTTTACCACAGGACTAAATGTTTGATCATAATCTAGTCCTTGTTGTTGTTTTTAGACTTGGGCCACAAGACGAGCCTTAAAATGCTCTAGAGAACTATCAGATTTTTGTTTAATACGATAAACCCAACGACAACCAATAACATTGGCAGTAGGTGATGCAGGCACAAGATCACAAGTGCGGTTGGCTATAAAAGCATTGTATTCTTCGGCCAGTGCACGTCTCCAATGAGGTAATTTGTGAGCTTCCGTAAAAGAAGTTAGTTCAGGTGGAAGTGATGAAATGTGAGAGATTAAGGATGGAAGAATGTGAGGCTTAAGAGAGCATGTTTGCTTGCGAGTGATCATGTGATGTGCTTTAGTATTAGAGGAACATATGTGTGGAATTTGAGGTTGAGAAACAGAAGATTCAAGGCGTTGAATTGGAGATATGTTGGTGGTTGTAATGGGTAAACGTGAGATGGTATGGTTAGGGGTGGATGAAGTAGTGACTTGTCCAACATTTGGAGGAGAATCATGTGTTACGTTGTTGCACAATTGAAGTAGTGTTAGGAGTGTTTTGTCCAGTTGGCAAAGAAGTTTGATGCCTTTTGGAAGAATCAAAATTCTAATTTGTATTCCTAGAATTTATGAGATTAGGAGATAAGGGATGATATAATATAGGAGGTAAAGTAGGAATATGAAAAACAATTTCGGCATTTGTTGGAGATAAGAAACGGTAATATTTTTCAATATCTCCATACTGAAAATTAGGAGATACGGTTGAGGTTAAAGAAGGATTAATATTAATTAAAGATGGAAGTTTAAAGAGAGTAGAAGTGCTAGATTTAGGTAAAGTTAAGGAGAGAAGATGCAGATAAGGAAAGATATCCTCATTGAACCTAACATATCTAGAGATAAATACTTTATTACTGGAAGTATCAAAATATCTGTATCCTTTGTAGTTAGATGGATAGCCAAGAAAGATACAATGTTTAGAACGAGGATTCAACTTGTGGGATAAATAGTCATGTAAGTTTGGGTAACATGAACAGCCAAAGACATGTAGATGATTGTATATAGGAGGCTTGCCAAAATGAACTTCAAAGGGAGTCTTAAAATGAAGCTTAGATGAAGGAAGGATATTTAAAAGATGGACAACAGTGTGTAGGGCTTCAACCCAGAATCGAGAGGGAAGTGATGCTTGAAATAATAATGAACAGACCATATTAAAATAGTACGATGCATGCGTTCAGCTTTGACATTTTGTTGATGAGTATGAGGACATGAAATACGAAGCAAAACGCCATTATCATTAAGGAATGATAAAAAGCTTGAAGTTTAACAAACTCAGCAGCCCCATCACATTGAGATGCTTTTAATTTTCTAGAAAATTGGATCAATACATAGGCATGAAATTGCTTAAATATAGTGAAAGCATCATATTTACACTTGAGAGGAAAAACCCATTAAAATTTCGTGAAATCGTCATGAAATAAAATATAATATCGAAATTCAGTAAAAGAAAAAATGGGAGAGGTCCAAATACCACTATGAATTAACTCAAATGGAGATAAAGAAAAAGAACAAGAATCCATAAATGGCAATTTTTGGTACTTGCCAAGTTGACAAGCATTACATAAATTATCTAAACATTTAAATGCAGAACAAGGTAACTTATTGATCCTAATTAAACTAGTTAAAATATTTGAGCTTGGATGTCCTAAACGACGATTCCAAAGATTTGGAAAGACATGTGCAGCAACAAGAGCAAGACGACAAGTTGCAACAAAGCCATCAGAAGAAGAAGTAAGGGCATAAAGTGGTCCAGAACTATTGCACCGAAGGAGAGGCCTCTTCGTCTTGAGTTCCTTAATGGAAAAACAAAAGGATCAAATTTCATAGAACAATTATTATCCGAAATAAATTTACGAACGCTTGGTAAATTGGTAGAAAGATGAGGAACAACTAAAATATCTCTAAGAGAAAAAAGAGAATCAGAAGTAGAGAAAATACCATGTCCAGTATAGGAAATAGGGAGTTGAGTTCCATTACTCACAACTACATGATCTGAGCCATTGTGTGGAGTAATAGAGGATAAATTAGTTGTATTTGGAGTCATGTGAAAAGATACTCCACTGTCCACAAACCAAGAGGCATCACCAGGCGAAGAAAATGAGTTGTTAGAACTAATATCTGAGACAAAGGCCTTAGAATTTAGAGAAGGATAATCACGAGCAGTGTGGTATGGCTGATAGCAGAGTTGGCAGTAAAGCGACACATTATTAGGTTGAGATGGATTGAAAGCAGCAGTATAAGAAATTGGAGGAGGACCTAAGATGGAAGGAAGACGGGGACGCGGAGTGAACTGTTGAGGCCAAACATTAAAAGATTTGGTATTCCCTTGAGTATAGCGACCTTGACCACGTCCACCATTAGAATGACACCCACCATTATTATGACGACCACGCCCACGACCATAAGAGTGAGAGGATTGCTGCTTGGCCATAAAAGCAGTGGTGGAATTATCCGAAGTAAAATTAGAGAGACTATTTAATTGAGCTTCATGAAGGAAAAGTAGGGAGCGTGCTTCAACAAAGGTAGGAAGAAGAACACAAGTAGAGATAGAGGTTCTCACAACATGTATTTTGGAGTTAATCCATAAAGTATTTGTAGAACAAGATCAGATTCAGAGATTGGATTACCTATAGACTTCAACGCATCTGCAATGGATTTGAGACGATGGACTTATTCATTAATTGAAAGGTTACTTTTTTTAAGGTTATGACACTGTACTTTGAGTTGAAGTGTTCGAGAACTAAATTGATCACGGAATAATCGCTCGATTTGAAGCCACGCGTCTCTAGAAGTGAGAGAATGATTTGACTTGATTATAGCTTGAAAAATTTCTTGGGAAATTATTGCTTGAATCCATGAAAGAACAATGGAGTCAAGTTGAATCCATCGTTGAAAGGAAAGGTTCTCGATAGAGTTACCATCATCATGAAGAATAGTAGGCTCAGGACAGAGAAAAATTCCATCAATAAAGCCATAAATACCATGACCTTTGAAGACGGATAAGAAAAGCTCTCTCCATAATATATAGTTTGTATAGTCAAGAACAGTAGGGACAAGATTTTTAATGTTTGAAACGGAAATAGCAAAGGGAGAGGATGGAAGAATGGAGGAAGCATTAGTGATAGAGGCTAAGGAAGAAGGAACTGATTCGGTAGAGGTGTTGGAAGCCATGAGTCAACAAAGGAGAGAAAACCTAGACTTCTAATACCATGAAACAAGTAATATTTCTTAATAAATATTGTTACAGATACAATGAGCTTTTATATTTACATGTTGATCTAGAAGATAAACATTATCTCTAAGTAAAATAATGATTTAAAATTCAAAATTTACATTACATATTCATCAGTATACACAGGCCTTACCCCTATCTGGTGAAAATAGAGAGGTTATTTCGGATAGATCCTCGCCTCAAGAAAACATATTTGAAATGCTGATAAAATATTAAAAATATTGTTCGATGAGTATTTCAAGTGATACAGAAGTAACAGTATTCACCCACAAAATTCTTGACTTAATGCAACTTCAACTTCTAAATACTCTTTTTCAACTTCTAACAATTATTATTCTCTATTTTTAACTTCAGCCACATATTATCCAAAAAGCATAATTTATCTTCCCTTTTTCTGTCTACAAGCATTCTTGACATTATCTTTCTGTCTAAGAAGATATAGCCTTGACCAAATTTCAATTGTGCTTATAAAACTTACTTTTTATGTAATAATGCCAAAAAAAATGAACGTGTAATCACGTTCAACAACATAATATATATATATATATATATATATATATATATTGGTGCTGAGAGTTTGTATACCAACAGTGACTTAGCCATTACTGTTCAATTGGGCTTTGTCTGCTCCCTTGCTAGTTATGTACAAAAATGAACTCATGTCACATCGTTCAAATAATTCCTAGTCCTAGTCAAAAGCCTGAGAAAAAGGTATACTAATTCGTAGCATTAAGGGGAACTCATAGTTGTTTAGCTAGTGATTCGAATGGATTAATTCTTGAAGAAGGATAGATTATCGAATAATATAAGATTTTATTCGACCACTTAAAGAATTGGTTTATCAAAGTTTATTACTCCTAGTAATTATGATAATATAGAACGCCCATATTCTATTTGTTTGGCTTATTGCCTTTGTATATGTCTGCTACCTTGGAGTAACATCTCCTTTTCATAAGGTGTTTTGGCTGTTTATTACTAACAGGGCAACATGTGCTTCATATGTCTGTACACTCTTCTTTTGTAGTGCCCATAAAATAGAATTGTCTTATCTTTTTTATTTTTTTATTTTTTCCCCCTCAAAAATAAGGACTTGACATTACTTCGTCAACGAACTACAAAGTTCAAATATACTCTTTGCATCCTGAACAACCCAACTTGGGAAAAACTTCTCCCGGGAGATGTCCTTCAACAAAGAAAGAGAAAATCTAGCTAAACTATGAGCTACTTTGTTCAACCTCCTTGGAATATAGAGAAATTCCACGTGATCAAACATACTTGATAGCTTCCAAATGTCTTCACACAGTACTTCTATCTCCCATGAAGTAGCCACTTGTTTTTGGATCATATCAACAACATTCTTAGCATCAGATAAAATCTTCACATTTTTCCATTCATGATTAATAACACATTCAAGTGCCTTTCTTATAGCAATCGCTTCAGCAGTCATGGTTTTCCCAACATATTGAATTGGGGATCCATGGGCATGAAGTAGTTTTCCAAGGCTATTCAAAGCCGCGATACCAATACTCGCATGTCTCTTATCACACATTAATCCTGCATCTGTAAATAATAAAGTACCATCTTGAAAATTGGTTAGTTTAGACACATGCTCATTTCCAATTGAAGATCGGACATTGAGGCAATTAATTAATAGATCTTTATATTCTTCATACTCAAAAAGAGATTTAGAAACAATATCAGTTGGCTCTAGCATTTTCTGATTAAAGCACCAAGCATTCCTACCTTTCAAAATTTACCATATAATATTAACACTCAAATGTAGTAATTCTATAGATTCAGGAAAATGCTTAGTAGTTAAGAACAAGTTATACCACCAAACAGAAAAGTCAGTTATGTTTTCAATATTAGGCCAATTAATAGGGCTTTGTTTTTATACAAGCTGAGACCGAGGACATCTAAATAACATATGTTCGATATCTTCACTTTCAAAATCATAAATCATATACATCTTATCCATGTTTTGTAATCTTTTAGCTAAGGTACTATTAACGGGCAAAGAGTTAATCACACATTTTCTTAGAAAATGTTTAAGTTTATTTTTAATTTCTAAGTTCCACAAAGAATCCCAGAAGGTTTTAGGAAAAGAATGACAACTCGCATGGGCTTCCGAATTCCTAATAGTCTTACCCGCCAAATCCTTTGCTAAATAGTAACCTGACTTGACTTCATAGTTCCTAGATTTTGAATGATGTCATATTAATCAATCATTAAGACCTATAATGGATATTGGAATAGATAAAATTACATCTGCATCTTCAGAAAATTTGAATTGTTAAAAAGGATAAATATTTCTAACGTTGGCTTACCTAGCAAGTAAAATATTAGGCGCCATCATGGTCTCGACGGTGAGAATTTCGAGTTGTGACAAGATTGAAGCCATAGAAACTGAAATGAAGGCTTTAGAGGATAACAGAACGTTGGATGTTGTTGATCTTCCAAAAGGCATGAAGGCTATTGGTTCAAAATGGGTGTACAAAATAAAATACAAAGCAAGTGGTGAGGTAGAAAGGTTCAAGGCCAGGTTGGTAGCCAAGAGCTATAGCCAAAGAGAAGGCCTAGACTATAATAAAATCTTTTCACCAGTTGCCAAGATGGTAACTGTGAGATCTGTGATTGCTCTTGCTGCTTCTAAAGGCTGGAATATATCACAAATGGATGTATATAATGCATTCTTGCAAGGGGATTTATATGAGAAAGTGTATATGGAACTTCCTCAAGGTTTCAGGAGACAGGGGGAGACAAAGGTCTGCAGACTATTGAAATCATTATATGAACTTAAACAAGCCTCATGATAGTGGATCATTAAGCTCAGTGAGGCCTTAACAGCTGCAGGATATGTTCAGAGTCTATATGACTATTCATTATTCAATAAAAAGAAAGGAGATGACTTTGTAGCAGTGTTGATATATGTGGATGACTTATTGATCACTGGAAATAATGAGGAGTTTATCAATGAGACTAAAGTTGTCCTTCATCAGAAGTTCAAGATAAAGGATCTTGGTGATCTCAAATACTTTCTGGGAATTGAAGTCGTGAGATCCAAAGAAGGGATTCTATTGAATCAGAGGAAATATTACCTTCAACTCATCTCTGATTTGAGATTGAGCGGTACTAAGCCAGTCTCAACCCCCATAGATCTCAACCAGAAGTTCACTTCTGCTGAGTTTGATAGACACACTGGCACTACAAATGATGAAATCCTGACATATGTGAGTGAATACAAAATATTGATTAGTAGGTTGATCTATTTGACTATCACACAACCATACATTGTGTTTGCAGTCCAAACTCTCAGTCAGTTCATGCAAGAGCCCAAAAAATTTCATTGGGATACTGCTCTTAAAGAGTATTCAAATACCTAAAGCATGAACTAGGCATAGGGATATTTCTGAGTAGTGTAAGTACAGATAGTTTGACATATTTTTGTGATGCAGATTGGGCAAGTTGTCCAAACACAAGAAGGTCAGTAAATGGGTACTTGATCAAGTTTGGCAACTCACTCATCTCATGGAAGTCCAAGAAGCAACATACAGTGTCGAGAAGCTCTGTAGAAGCAGAGTATAGAAGCCTAGTAGTCGTGACAACAAAAGTAGTCTTGTTATTAGGATTGTTTGCTGAACTTGGAGTGCATATCAAGCGACCTGTGGAAGTCTATTGTGATATTGAGATCGATTGCCATTTTGTGCGCGACAAAATCAAACAAGGTGTATTCAACACACAGTTTGTGGGGACTAAAGGTCAGCTAGTTGAACTTCTCACTAAAGGTCTTGGACAGTCTCAGCATGCATTTCTACTTGGCAAGCTTGGAGTGCTTAACATCTTGCACCCTCCAGCTTGAGGGGGGGGGAGTATGAGCTATTAGTTAGTTGCTTATAGTTGTGGGGCCCAGTAGTTAAAGTAATTAGTCAAGTTAGTACAGAATTAAATTTTATATAAAGTTGTAATCATTCATTTACAAAAATAGAATTCATTTTTCTCTTCTGCAATTCCTCTCTTCTCTCTCGAGTTCATCCCTTCATTCTCAAACCTAATCACAAATTGCTTGGATGAATCTGGAAATTGAACTCATATTCATCAAGCTCACACTCACTAGTAGATATACACGTCTGGTCAATTTTTTGTCCTACTACTCAAGAATTATTTCAGGCCATCCAAACAAGTTGTAACATTAGGGATGTACATAATTTGATAAACACCGAATTACCGTACCGAAACCGAAAATTTTGGTATTCGATATTCGATATTTTGGTATTCGGTATGGTATTTGGTTTAAGTTTTAAAAAAAATTGGTATTAGGTATGGTATTTGGTATTTTAAAATAAAATACCGAAATACTGATATCGTACCGAAATATATATTATATTACACAATATATATTTTATTAATTATAACTTAAATATAAGATATCTAACAGCAAGATATTTCTCTAACAGCTTGTTTGGATGGTTGTTACACATCGTTTCATAATGTATCGTATTATATTATATTGTATCGTTTGATAAATATAATATTTGGGTAGATTGTATCGTTTGTCGTTGTTTCGTGATATCATGCACCAGCAATATGAAAAATACATTTATAATATTATAAAATAAATTATGATACGGGATAAATTTATTATATAAAAAGGTAGGATAAATGATAAAATAAAATTATTTAATAACAGTGAAGGATGAGATGAGAGAAAAAGATAAAATAACGACGCAACCACACCAAATTGGTCGTTACATAAAGTGACATATTTCGTCATTACATAACGACAGATTTAACGATACGATACAGGAAAATTTAAGTAACAACCAAAACAAATATCGTATTTAAAATAAGAATACGATACAATACAATAGGTAACGACCATCCAAACAAGTTGTAAAGAAAAAAAAAATATGAAATCCTTTTTAAAAGAAAGATTATCTTC